CTGGTGTTGGAGGTCAATCATCCCAGACCTAGGACATCTCTGCAGGAGTTCCTCAGGATTGTGTCCCAGGCACAGCCATCTTCACCTGCTTCATCAATGAACTTCCCGCCATCAGAAGGGTGAAATGGAGTTGTACGCTAATTGCTACACCATGTTCAGCAACATTGACAACTCAAAAGGAGAGTCCTGCCCATGTCCTATCTACCCGGGGCTACAGCCCTTTGGTACTGTCTTCCCAGGAAAGAGGGTCTTGCTGTACTGTCTGCCCAGGGACCAGATCTCATAAAGCTCAGCAAGTTTTATGGAACATGCCCAGTACCACATTCACGTACATAGCATTAACGCAGGGCACACCCACCCACCCCACCTTCTTTCACATTCCAAAGCCACTGTTTCTACTTTACTTATCCTAGAAGCTCCGACTTCTTGCTAGGGATGGATCTATTTTGTACCAATTTAATTATCTGACCAGACTGAGCAGCAAAGTAGGTAAATAAGTAATTCAACCTAACAAGCAGGCTACATAGTCTGACTTGACATCTAAACACAGTCAATTCCACCAACCATTATCCATCCTCTTCCACTTTACCTTCCCTTCACTCTGTCCACATGCATTAACACCCCCAGCCCAGAGACTAATTACCTTGATTGTAGTGTCTGTGACGCTGGCCAACACCAACTAATTCAACCTGGCAAAGGGATCAAACCTAGAAATATATCATCAGTATGTCTCAGCTATAAAATGTATACACCAACTGAGCATTTAGTCCAGAGCACAAGACCTCGGAAGGATTGAAAGAACCTAAATGGCATGCGGTGCAATTCACCAGAATTATCTCTGGGCTAAAATGAGTTCCTTGAACACATCGCGATTGGGGAGTGATATAATTGAAGTCTCTAAGATGATTCAAGTACTTGATATGGTAGATAAAAGGAAAAGATTTCTTTTGATATCAATGTCTGTAAAAATCAGAAATTACATTAAAATTAGAGGCTTTTCATTTACGGTGAAGTCAGGAAGCTCTGCTTCGTAGAAAATATAGTGGAAATCTGGAACACTTTTTCCAAAAACTGTTGAGGCTGCGGGTGTCAATTGAAAATTCCAAAAATGAGATTGACGGTTTTTTTTGACAAGAACATTAAGGTACATGGATTGAAGGCCAATAAATAGACTTAAATAACAAGATCGCCCATGATTTAACAGAAGGGTGGAATCAGCTTGGTGAGTTGGTCTCCACCTGCTCTTACCAGCTATCAAGGGAAGGAAGATAAACAACATCCTTTAAATAGTTATTTACTGTTGCTTATGGCAAACACACTGGTTTATAAATCAAAGTCACTTATTTTCCACAACCATTGCAGCTTTATGTTTACCTCAAGTATTGGCAAGCAACAGACAGATAGAGAAGAAGCAGGAGTATGTTGCAAAACTCATTTTAAGGAGGGCAGATCTGAAACCCAGAATCTTAAATTACGTTGGGAAATTAAGTATTAAAGCAGGGAAATGTTTTATGATTTTCCTGTGGTATGACGGCACAACATTTTTAATTGCTGCTCTGTGTATCGTGTAGCTGATCTATTGCTCTGCTAGAATGCAGAGGTAGCACATTTGAACCATCCTATGATTTTTGGCGGGCATAAAACAGGGGGAACACCAGTTTCCAGAGACTATATCCCATGCCTTATAACTGGCAGAAGTATATCCAACATTTATATTGAGACAGGTGAGCAAGATATATAGATATATTGGTTGGAAGCCACCTCATATAAGCAGTAGACCCCTTCTATAAGCTAATGAGAAGCCAAAGGCTTGTACATGCCCTGTCCATTTAAGATTCTGGAGGCGATTTTCGAGTTAACGCTTTCGAGTGATAGGTCAAAAAGGGACCACTGGAAACCGTTGACATGGTAAACCTTTTCATGTTGAAAATAACAGTACCCCTAGCATCACTGCAGGCCTCCCCACTAAACTGGGATCACACCATTCGACCATCCATTTGCCTCCTGCCGCCACACAATCCTGGCGCTCTACCCCATGTCGGGTAGGTCCTAAGGAAGCCACAACCGTAGTCAAACAAGCCTGAATTAATCTGGGGTTTGATGGTCAGTTGTCTACTCATCAGAATTATCGCAATTAGGCCAAAATTAAGGTGGAGGGAGGACGAAGATCATCCAGGGCTGGTCCTGGCCCTAGCCCTACACAAAAAGGTACATTACATGTTCCCTTCAGCCAAGCCACCACTTAAATGTTTGCCAGAGCTTCCACAATACGTGATCTGACTGGATCAGCATCGACATGCCAATCAGAGCCAGCTGGAGAATCTGAAGGTTGGCTCCAGTAAATACACTTGTGATCACAGTACCAGCAGCAATATGGCTCCAAGTCACTGTCTGCCATTTTCACCAGACAGATGGGCAAAAATTCAGCCCAAACATTTTAAAAAAATTTTGTTCTCCCACTGACAGCAGTGACGTCTTGTGCTTTATAAAGTTCTCGTGAAATCAGATCAGACTTGCATAATACCACTACCATTGTGGCCTTGACCAGCTCCACTGCAAAGGATGAAGACCTCGAGTGCATGCAACCAGACAGCCTTTGAAACAGAGATAGTAGGAACTGCAGATGCTGGAGAATCCGAGACAACAAGGTGCAGGGCTGGATGAACACAGCAGGCCAAGCAGCATCATAGGAGCAGAGAGGCTGACGTTTCGGGCCTAGACCCTTCATCAGAAAAGGGGGAGGGGAAGGGGGTTTTGAAATAAATAGGGAGAGAGTGGGAGGCGGATAGAAGAGGCTTGGACTCACAGGGGCCAAAAGAAAGCTGCAACATATCTTGCAACTTTAAACCAACTCTAGTCTGATCTGGAGACACTTCCAAAGGACTCAACGTTGGTCAGTTTTCATCATTAACATCACAATGTAGCCTAGCAGGGAAACAAGCTCGGAAGGCTACTGAAACAGTCAAACAACATTTCTTGCATTCTTCTCTAAAACGAGGGAGTGTTTTTAACATAATGTACTTCCTCTATCTCTTAAAATAAGAATGATTGAAGAGTGTGTAGGAACTGGGAGTCCTTGGCTCCATTATCTACAACTGATTCTTAACAAGGGAAAGCAATAAATAAATGGAAATTGCTTGGGGGCTTTCAAAAACGTCTTGACATCAGAATTAAATCAAAGTGATATTACTCCTCAGATATCAAGAGTGCGGTTACCACTCCTTTCACCCAGTGAATTCAGGCAACTACCTCAGGCTTGGTAAACACATAGTTTACAGGGGGTAAGCGGTTCTGGAATTCATGTGTGATTATTGATTAGGTTCCTTTTGAGAACAATTGCCTGTTGCCTCAGCAACAAATTAAAAACAACCAGGACTGGCTGGAAAACACTGATTCACTGTGAGGAGTCTCTCGGGGAAACATTCAGTGAAATGAATGGTCATCTGGAAATAAGCATTTAAAAATCTCAGCTTCCAGTAATGTCAAATGAGTGTTTCTGGTTTCTCGTAACCTAGGGAATACTGTAGATCAGCTGTCGTATCTTGTAACCTTGGTGGTCTAGCACCATGAGTAATCTAACTTCAAAACTCAATCTAAACCACAAATATGCTGCCTGACTGCGCATACCTCTCTCTTCTAGGTCCTTGCCTTAGTAACATCAAGATGGCACTTTTTTTTTCACAATCATTCTTCTACAGATATTTAAATTGTAGAATTCCTTACTTCTATCAGTCTCCCTTTCCTCCTACAGTCTACAGTTTTACAAAACAAATCGTGGCCTCATGTAATTGCTGTTTCTGAGTTATGTCTTCTCATTTCTGCCTTACTCTTATGTGAATATAGAAATAGAAGGAGGCCATTCAGCCCCCATGCCTTCTTTGAAATTTTATATTGACTCTATTTTCTCACACTATTCCCATACCCATTGATGACTTTAATATCTAGATATCTACTGATATCAATGTGGAACATATTCAATGGCTAACTGTCAAAGCCTGCTGGGGTAGAGAAATCCAAACATTCACCATCCTCTAAATAAAGACATTTCTCCTCACTTCAGTCATAAAGGTTTGCCCTTATTCTAATACTGCATTCCCTTCCTTTATCCTGCACTTGATCCTTATCAATAGAATCACAGAATCCTGACAGCATGGAAGTGGCCATTCAGCCCATTCTGTCCCACCCCTCTACCCTACCCCCTGTAACCCTGCGTTTCTCATGGCTAATCCACCTAGTCTGCACATCCCTGGACACTATGGAGCAATTTAGCATGGCCAATCTACCTAACCTGCACATCTTTGGACTGTGGGAGGAAACCAGAGCACCTGGAGGAAATCCACGCAGACACAAGGAGAATGTGCACACTCCACACAGACAGTTGCCCGAGGCTAGAACTGAACCCGGATCCTTGGCACTGTGAGGCAGCAGAGCTAACCACAAAGCCACCTTATTCCTTTACTGTTACAGCATCTGTCCTGAATTTGACTTTATTGGAGTATGGACAGCCAAGTGTCAATGATTAACTTTTTAAGTTATTAGGAAACCCAGGCAGATTTTAACTGTAAGACTCTTGTACATAAAATTACAGAAAGACAATTTCAGCTATCACATCATGATGGAAATAAGGGAATAAATGAGATGTATCTGAATCAGAAAGACAAATAGTGATGAGGGATAACATCAACGATAATCGCTTCATTGAAACATGGTAAAAGCATCTAATTTTACTCTGAATAATTCTAAAGCCTTCAATATCCCATTGCAGGTAATAATCACTTGTTGCGTTAGTGTTTCCTGGAATTGCCCTTCACCAGTTTGAGCCTATATCACCTTCATCCTGCAGTTGTGGTTTAACTTGACATAGAATATCAGATTAACGTTTTTTTCCATTATTATCTTGCATACAACCCAAGATCCTATCCTGTTCAGCCTCATTCAAGTTTTCTTTCCCTCTCCAATCACAAATCTTCCTCCATGTAAAGATTCTCTAAGGATCTTACCTTTTGGAAGAAAAACATGTTGCCTACAAAAGGAAATGGCTTCGGGTGCTTGATTCCAGCCCTTTTCAACTGAGAGTATGGTGCCACTGAGTACCTGTAAGGAACATGAAAATAACCAAAAGAAGTGACAGTGCTTTTCTGGTGAATGTTTGCTCCTTCTCTGAAAATAATTCCTGCTAAGCAACAGTTCTATAGGTGTCCTCCATTACCTCAACAATTAGGGCATCCTTCAGATAGGAGTGTCAATGAGATAAGTGACTTTAGAAGGAGGGGAGGGCATTGCACTGGAACATTGTTGAATATCCCGATGATAGAAGGATGCTAATATATATTATGTTACTTCTTCAGAACAAATCTAACAAAAGTACAATTAGGCTCCCAATGAAATCGAATTTCAGAAGTCCTGAAGATTGGGCTAAATGTACTAAAATGCTTGAAAATTCCAGCAAAGTGCCCAGTGGACACAAAAATGGTAAGAAAACTGATATTTGCTCATTTGTTATAGATAGTGGATGAAGCAGAAAATATTGTCTGCTTGTTTAAACTGAGAGGAGAGTTAGGATAACAGCTGTTTGGAGCAGGAACACCAGCACATGCCAGTTGGGCCAAATGGCATGATCTGTGCTGTGAAATTCTGTGCATTATATAAGACAGCCGTGGAAAAATTTAAGAGGCATGGTGGTGCATTGCAATCAGAGCATTCTAAATGTTAGTAACATAACACGAAAGGTTTTAAGCTTTGTTTAAGGAGCAACAGAAGAATCAATGCAAAAAAGAAACTGTTAAAAGCAATCAATCAATCAGAAACCGATCAGATAAGAATGCAACAGTGGTTAGTTAGTGGCATGGAAGAGAAACTTGAACAATCAACACACGTCATAATCACTGTTACGACCAATGGTGCAAAGAAACAAAACTTCAACAAGGAAGCCTGATAAACCAAACAAGTATTACAGGTGCGGACATGGACATTCCTTATCGACCCAACACCTTCCTCACCCCAGAGATGTTGAAGGATCAGGAAGTAAAGGCAGCAATGTGGAAGCATAGGTGTCTATTCATGAGTGAGCTGTCACAAAGTTGGCTTCTGTATTGATCCGAAGAGCAACGAAAGTGAGGGGCACTGGGACATTCTCAGAATATGACAAGCTAGGAGATAAATGCACGTGCTTGCTTACTGTAGAAATACTAATGTTTTCAAGGTAAAGGCAGTACCTTAGATCCCTGAGAGGGAGAAACCATTTCAGTCAATTTTTCAGTCAAAAAAAATGAGGTGGGCAATCCAACTGAACTTCACCCCAGTCCTGCCATTATTGATGTCTTGCCAACCTGGCTTATTCTAGATGACCTTGAGAAATGCCTGAAAGCACTAGGCACAGTGATGATCTTGGACTTTGACAAGATCCACAATGTACTGCTGAAAACCTGCATTGCAGAGCTGAATGCCACCTTCCAGTACTGCTGTGCCACAGGCAACTAACCAGTTGTGAGGAAAATAACCTAGGTAATTCCTACTCGCATTAAAAAAGCTAAATCTGAGCCTGCTCCTGACTGACTCATCAGCCTTCTTCTATCATCAGTAAAATGTTAAGTGGAATCATTAAAAGTGTCATCAAACACATCGAGTAACCAATAACCAGCTCACTGATGATCAGTTCTGGTTCTGCCAGAAACACTGGTCCACACGTTGTTTCAACCACGTTCCCCCCAGTGTCCTGACTGATTCATGAGTTCTCAAGCCACATCACATTGTTGTTTGTGGGTTCTTACTGTGGATAAAATGGCTGCTGCTATTTCTTACATTACAGATGCAACAACTGTTCAAAACTACTTCATCAGATGTAAAGTAACTAGGACATCCCATGGTTGGGAAAATGCTAAAGGTAAGTCATTCATTTCTTTTAAGTGCTCATTGAACATGGACATCAATGGCAAGGCCAGCATTTATCACCTCTGAGAAGGTGACGTTGAGCCACCTTCTTGAACCACTGCAGCATGTTTTGCAGGTACAACCCAAGTAATATGAAAGAGGGTGCTCCAGGATTTTAATGCAACGACAGTGAGGTATCCAATGCAGGATGGTGAGATGGAGGGAAACTGTAGTTGGTGGCATTTCCATGTTTCTGCTGCTGTGGTCCTCCTAGGTAGTAGAGGTCATTATTTGAAAGGATGGAAAGCTCTGTCAAAAAGTCTTAGAGTACATCTTATATATGGTACACACTGCTGCCACTATGCACCAATGGTATAAGAAGTAAATGACTAAAGTGGTGAATGGAGTGCTAATCAAGTAAAATTACTTTGGACAAGATGGTAATGAACGTCTTGAGTCTTGTTTGAGCTTAACCATCCAGGTAATTGCATGGTATTCCATTCACAGTTCTGGCATGTGCCTTGTAGACAGTGGAAAGGTTTTGTGAAGTCAGGATCAGCCTCTGATAGGTGCACAAAGTCACGGCAATTTTGTCTAACTAGTCAACTAACAGTGATTCCAGGATATTGATGCCAAGGAATCCAGTGAAATTGGAAGTCGAGCGAAGTCAAGATTAGATTTATTTTCGTGGTTAGAAATGGAGATCTCCACAGTGCCATTCCACTATTGAATAAGATTGTGATAGAACCCTGACTCCATATACCCAGCTTTCTCCCATATCCCTTAATACCTCTAGATAACAGAAACCTATCACAGTCTTAAAATTGCACCAATAATCATTTGCGGTTGAGTCGTCCAAGTTTCTACCAATATTTCATGTTGAAGCTTTTCTTAATTTCATTTCTGAAAGGTCTGAATCTAATTTTTATACTGTGCCAAAAATTCTTAGACTCACTAATCAATGGAAATTTTTTTACTCTATTGACCTTATGTTCTCATAGCATCTTGAAAATTTTTACCAAATCACTCCTAAATCCTCCATATCAAAGCAATAGTTTGTTTAATTTTGCATTTGTAATTTAACCCTAAAGCTTAGGTATCATTCAGGTAAAGCTACTGCATTCCCACATGGCCAACATACTACAGTCATTTCTGAAGAAGGGTCTAGGTCCGAAACGTTAGCTTTCCTGCTCCTCTGATGCTGCTTGGCCTGCTGTGTTTATCCAGCGCTACACCTTGCTATCTCATACTGCAGTCATTGCCTAGCACTTGAGTGGCACAAATGTTATTTGCTCCTTAGCAGCTCAAACCTGCAACTTGTTCAGGTTTTGCCATATTCAGGCAATGTCTACTTCACTATCAGAGGAACTGAGCAGAATTGAACTGTGTGCAATCATCAACAAACATCCCAATTGCTGACTTCAAGACAGAGCGAAAGAACTTTAGAAAGCAGCTGAAGATGAATGGACCTAGGACATTGCAGAAATTCTTCACGGCAGAATTGTCTTGGGCCTTAGATGATCAAGTAAATGCCACTTGATAGCACTCACAGTAACATTTTGGATCATTTTGTTAAGAACTGAGAGTAGACCAATATGGCCATAATTGGCCAGATTGGATTTTATTGGGTTTTTTTTTTCTAGACAAGACACACCTGGGCATTTCCCAAATGTTAGGTAGATGCCCTTTTCAACTTGCATTCAAATTGGAGAAATGCTGACTCAGAAGCTGAGGGAGAGGAATAATCAGCAAATCACCTAACCCTTGTTTGAGCTGATGGTATGACACTTTATGGTGTCTACCATCGAAGTTGAGAATTTCCAGGCTGATCCCTTCCAAATGTATATCAGCCTGCTGCCACCTATTGTGGATCTGTCCTGATGTTAAGACAGGACATACAAAGGATAATTATGGAGGAGTGCAAGGTACTGACTAGTCCAGAAATATACATAATGCCAAGTAGCATTTTTAAAGCACCAGTCACCTCAGAAGTAAGTCTGCTTAAAAACATACTGATCATTGTTGTAACAGAAGGGCGCCTCTGCGCACACTGATAGCTTCAAATGAGAAAACTTTTCTGTCCTGTAAAGGTAATGTAGGGTTAGCCAGACTACAGGATAATCAGTAAGTTATAATGGTTCAAGGGTCAGAGTGATGCTATGAACAGATGGCATGGAGTGCGGAATATTTGATCACTGATTAAAGCTAGTTGTTATTCCAGATGTCACTGTTTTTTTGAAAGTTAACCTAATATGTATTCAAAATGTGATTCAGAGCTTTGTCATTCCCTTCCCCCACATGTTCAAGCTCATCATTTGAGCTCAAAATTTGAGCGCAATTTTTTCACAAGCAGTAATTGGGGACACCTGGTAACCTGTCAGGTTTCAATAGTCAAACAAAAGTTGATGAAATATTAATTCCAAATCACCTGCTTTTTACCATACATCCTTCATAAAGAATTCTGAAATGTCAAATCTTGCATTTATATTTGTTGCAGTCATTTTTGTCCACGTTTGTCGCTTGGCAACCAGTACCTGCTCACACAGGCCAAGCTGGACTCAAGGTCCTTCCATAACTCTCATCCAGCAGCTGTCTGCTGAATGGTAGAAGATCAATTAGTGCAAGATTTTTTCAATAGAGTTGAGGATTAACCTATTTTTGTCTCCTTTACATAGTGCTGCTAGGACAACAGTATGAAAGGAAGTGGCATTAAATTAATTAACATCATCTTCTTTGGGACTCTCTCTTCTTCATGCACTATGAACCTGTTTTTAAAAAAAATGCAATCCAAATAATTGCTGTAGGCCCTCAGTGTGAAAACTGAAGAAAACCACGCACGTATTATTTACTGAAAACAAAAAATGTTGGAGATCAGGCAGCACCCATGGAGAGAGCAAGCTAACGTTTCGAGTCAAGATGACTCTTCATCAGAGCTGATGTGAAGTGTGGAGGGGATGACATTTATGCAACAGTAGTGGGCGAGGGGGAATGCTGAGGAAGAAAAGGTGTTGAGCACCTTTTCACCCCCAGCACTCCACTCCACCCCCCCCCCCCCACAACAGTTACATAAATGCCGCCCCTACACACTTCACATCAGCTGTGATGAAGAGTCATCTTGACTCGAAACATTAGCTTGCTCTCTCCATGGATGCTGCCTGACCTGCTGGGATTTCCAGCATTTTTTGTTTTCAGTACAGATTCCAGTATCTGCAGTAATTCGCTCC